GCACAAATTTGCCGCAGCTTATATTGTTTCGAAGATATCTCGACAACCACTCAGTGAATTTGATAAATTTTTTTTTTTAATTTGAATTCTATGGATTCACAAAATTCAACTAAAAAAATTTTTACTGAATTTCATTAGGTGGTTGTCAAGATAGCTTTGATGAAATTTTTGGAAAAATTTTAAACGTCTATTAAAATGTTAGCCGTGACAATGACTTTGATCGAAAGTATCTCGATAACCACCTAATAAAATTCAGTGAACTTTTTTTTATTTGAATTTTATAAATCTATAGAATTCAAAGAAAAAAAACTCATCGAATTTCACTTAGTGATTGTCGAGATACCTTCGATAAAAGTTTAAAAATGAGTGATCTACATAGGGCGTGGAAATACCAAAAATGGGGTGTGGAAATACCGGTTCCCTATAATTATAATAAAATAATCAATGTAAAGAAAATTTTAGTACTTACAAGCATCCATTAAAACTTGCGCACAAGCACCTTCCCCTTCAAATTCCATATTACCCTCCATTAATTCTATCCACCCACCAGGTTTCACCACTCTGATTAATTCACTAATTACAGTTGTCCATTCGTCTTCGGTAAATGCTATTATTAGGAATCGCATATAAACGAAATCGAAATGATCGTCAGGGAATGGTAGACCCTTTAGGACATTCGCAGTGTGAAAAGTCAAGTTTGGAGGTTTTATACCGGTTGGAAACATTGGAGAAATGTCTATGCCAATGAACCTGGATTTTGAGTATGTTGTTGACTGAAAATTTGATAACAATAATAATAATAATAATAATGATAGTGATAATAATAATAATAATGATAATAATGATAATAATAATGATAATAATGATAATAATAATGATAACGATAATAATAATAATAATAATAATAATAATAATAATAATAATAATAATAAATTAGAATTAGTGCATAATGAATAAAATTAATAATACCGATAATGTCAAGATATTTACCATATCTAAAAGCCACGTGCCAGGACCACAGCTTTCGTTAATGAAAGAAGATTGAAAAATGTTAATAAAGCTTTCGGGTGTTCTATCATCACCAGTAGCAAATAAATTAAATAAATAAATAAATAAATTTATATATATACCCGACATCAAGAACATTGCAATTGCCACGTTCAAGAAGTTCAGTTACTGGAGCAGAATAATTACCATTCCATATAGTTCGATAAAGAAAATGTTGCAACTGAAGTCTATCGACTATTGAAAATTAAATTAATACTTATAATAGTAGATCTGCATTATTACATGACCATTCAATACATAGTGATAATAGTGATAATAGTGATAATAATGTACTATATATAATCTATAATCTTATACAAACCTTCTTCATCATCGTTCGGCAATATATACTTTGAATTTACATCATTATGAAATCTTCTACCATGAATGGATCTAAAAATGATTTTAGAAGGCTTTCGAGTTCGGAATATATGAGTTGGTCTAGATTTTGAGGATTTATTGCCCATCTATTCTTCTATTTAGATGAAAAAGACTCGATTGTATTTTAAAAGAAAGTTCAATATCGTGGGCAGAGAAATATCATGCTAAAAAATTGATAAAATAAACGATCTATTTAAATGTGTTTAATGATTATTACAACAAATGCTTATCTCAGCTTAATCAAGTAATAAACATAAATACGCCAAGATCCTTTTTTATAGAAATTCGTGGTATCTATTCATCGATTATTGAATTATTGGAATTAGTATGAACTGAATTATTATGTATCGGTATCATGGAAAGAGCTCATATTAAATACCACGTTGGGAAATCAATGATTACTCAAAGTCAATAAAACCTTCTAATGTTCGAACTGTATAGGTTCATTAACGTAAACATGTTAATAAAATTTTGGAATATGTGACTTTCTTTGTAAACAATGATGAATAGATAAATATTCAATAACTTTCCGTAATATACTTGAATGATTAAAAGATTATTGTCTGATTTTTAAAGAAAACTATGGTTGCCTAAAAAAATATTATTGGCTGTTTTTCGATTGACGTTACATAATATTTTCCACATGCAGAAATTCATTTTTTTTGAGCCGTTAATTTCTGCAACTTCGCACCAATAAAGTTATATCATTACTATTAATAGTTAGAAAATAACTGAAATCTGTTCAAACGACAAATATGTGTAATAAGAATTAATCAGTCGATCATTGATCATGAATTCAGTCGATCATGATTAATGACTAAATTTATTAGTTGTCATATAAAAATTGTCGCGTAACCTATCTACCCTTAATAGCTACGGTTACAATATAGATATTAT